GAAAAGAGCTAAATTTCTCATTTTTGAATGACCTTGACCTTTGACCTTTACATGAATTTTAAGGTCAAAGGTCAATGAATCTTATGCAGTTGGTCCCATGTCTCTACGACTTGTCATTTTAAAAATTTTTAATTATTTGTGATATTCAAAAAGTTTCAGGGGCAATAACTCATTGAAGGGGTCACCGAATACTTTCGCAATGAATAGATTGAAGAGTCCCCATAATTAGGCAAAGCCATTGGTGAAGGTTTCATACCTTTACGGTTTACGGTTTCAGAGGAGTAGCAATAACAAGGGTTTTTAGCACAAGGGGCAACAACTTTTTAAAGGGTCAATCTTAGGGGCCAAGAATTATATCTTCTAAAGAGTTTCAAAAGTACATATTAAAGACATAAGATAGATAGTATATGTTTAAGGACATAAGAGCTATTAAGAGAAATTTATTTCTCATATTTGGAATGACCTTGACCTTTGACCTTGAAATGAATTTGAAGGCAAAAGGTCATTGAATGTTATGCAGTTGGTTTCATGTCTCTACGACTTTTCGTTTTGAAAATTTTTAATTTTTTGTAAAATTTATAAACTTTCAGGGGCAATTACTCATTGAGGGGGTCAAAGAAAGCTTTAGCAATGAATAGATTGAAAAGTCTCTTAAATTAGTTTAAGACAATGGTGAAGGTTCTGTATCTCTATGGTTTACGGTTTCTGAGGAGTAGCGATAACAAGCTTAACGGTGAAAGGGCCAATAACTGCATCGAAGTTAAAACCGTTTTTTGGAATAACTTTAAATATCCAGTATCATGAACTAAAAAGTTTTTTGATAAGTCTTACGGTGTCAAAACATAAGGTGAGAAATAAAATTAAAACAACAACACATTCATAAATAAATCATTTGTCATTTTTTTTCTTTTAAAAAGTTCATTCTTTATGTAATTTTACAAATGTTTATTTGTTTCTTTGAATATAAATACACACAAATATTTTTCTGAAACCTGGAGAGATGACCCAGGCCAAAGATAACAAATTTTCAGAAATACGTATTAAAAAATATAACATGTTGTACCAAATGACTCATCTAACCTTGATTCGAGTTATTTTTAAACAAAAATAAAGACACTATATGGAAAATATTTGTCACTCCTATTTCAAAGACAATACATCAATAGAATGTTATAATTTCATTTAGTTCAATATTTTTTCATTCTTCAAGTGCTCCCCGATTCCTGTCAATCGTTCTTTCTTGGAGTCTGAGCTACACACATAAAAAAAGTGTGGTTATGGACAGATGATACAAACAATTTTTTTTTCTGTGGAAGATACTTAATATCATGTCAGAAGTTTAGAAAAGTGGATAATTCGATTTTTCTCTCCTAAGAAGTGAAAAATGAAATAGACTTGGAAAATATTGGTAATACTTCAATATAAAAGCAAATATAGACAAATCACACTCAGTAAAGGTTTACAGACGAAAACAAATTTCAGAACATGCTATTTGGTGCTAAAAGTGTAATATAAACTTAGGAAAAGTATACCAAGCCAGGTGAATTTTATCAGGAAAAGCAAAATGACAAGAAATCAGCAATATCATATAGGCTGATTTTTACCATTTTGCTTTTCCTGATAAAATTCACCTGGCTTGCTATTTCATTTTCCAGTTCTTAGGAGAAAAAAATCTAAGAATTATCCTCTTTTTTAAACTTGTGACATGATATTAAGTCTCCTCCAAAGAAAAAAAATTGTTTGTATCATCTGTCCTTAAGGTCAAGGGAAATGTTGAAGTAAAAAATGTTGATGAAGAGGAATGATTGATCTATCTTAAAAATTCCATACAAAGATAAAACGTTTCCCTTGTTTTGGCAATTAAAAGCGGGATACAAAAGGGAAAGTCTAACAGGGACTTTCTACATAGTTTTTGAGTCGTTTTACTTACTCATATAAAAAAATGCCAATAAAAATAGTAGAAATAATTTATCTTGCTTAAATATAACACACAAAGATAAAATTAATAAAAAACAAAATGCGTTTGTGAAACACTGATGGCCCTTTATGGCAACAGTGAACTTTTGGCGAAGGTTGAAGTTTTTTGAATGCAAGTCGAACTCCAAAGTCAAGGTCAAATGTCAAAATTGTTGGTATCCAACGGAAGGTCTTCTCATAAGTGATAAACATATAAAATATGAAAGCCCAGCTACCAACTGTTCAAATTATATGGCTAATTTTTAAAAGTTTTTTTAAAAGTGGGTCAAACTCTAAGGTCAGGGTCAAAAGGTCAAATTTGGTAGTACCCAACGGAAAGTCTAGTCACAAGAACTGCAGAGGCAAAATATGAAAGCCACAGACCCATCCAATCAAAAGTTATATGTATATGGACAAGGTTAAAGTTTTTGCGGACAAACAGACAGATAGACAGACAAACCTACAGTTCAAAAAAACTATCGACCCCCGAATCCTGGATTATAGGGGCATTAAAAAAACAAACATGTTAAAGATACAAAATAACTATATTTTACTCTATGCCTGACTTATGAACATATAACTTATCTGCAACATTCAGATTTAACAGATCAACAATGGATCCCCGGAAAACGGCTCCTGGATATACGGGCGAGGAACACCCAGAAATCGTAGACATCCGGGCCATGCTACCCCAACCTAAGGAACCAAAACCTGACCAGGTCCACACAAATCTTGTTAAGCAGTACTTTGAAGAGGTTGGCAAAACTTGAATGGTACATTTACAGACTAAGGGAATTCGATTTGATAAGCCCTACGTGGAACAGTGGTCAGATCATTTGTTGTAGTGTCGTGGTGTAAGTTGATCCTTACAACTCAGGTTCGAATCCCTCGGCTGGATTGGACAATGATCTTTCGGAGGAGATCGTATAAACCGAGTCCTGTGTCACATTAAGTGCTGGCACGAAGATCTCTCGACCTCACTGCTAAATGGTAAGTCGGGAAGCTATTAATGAACTGGTGGATGAGTTAGTCCAAAAACTGTATAAGGGCGGCAAAATCAAACGTGAGTTAATACTTTTTGAATACAAAGAGGAATTTAATGTCTTAAAATTTCCCTCCCTAAATTCGAGAGAATGTAGTTGATATATTCCTGGTAGTGGCTGATCTAAATTTAGAACTGTGGAATCATCAATGTTCCTCTGGGACCAATGTTCGTTGATTTCGTGCGTCACTCTCATTATGGACGACGGAAAGGGTAAAAAAGACGTTAATGCAAAGCTAACAACTTGTTTTATAAACATACTAAAATAAAAAACAGACAACCTTTAAAACAAAATCAACAGACTCCGATGCAAAACCAACGATCACCAATGCAAAACTAACAATCATTCACGTTCCTATGAAAGTACACAAATAAAGATGACGTAGAAAAACTTGCGCGCCATCTAGCGTTAATTCAGGTAATGTCTGTTTTAGCACGCCGTCTAGCGTCAATTCAGTGAATGATTGTTAGTTTTGCATTGGCGATCGTTGGTTTTGCATCGGAGTCTGTTGATTTTGCAAACGAGTCTGCTGATTTTATTTTTAAGGTTGTCTGTTTTGTATTTCAGTATGTTTATAAAAATAAATTGTTAGTTTTGCATAAACGTCTTTTTTTCCCTTTCCGTCGCCCATAATAAGCTCCCATTACAAATTCGAAATGATCTCCATTATTTCAACAACAAATGAAAGTTGCCCCTTGAAATTTGTATAGAGAATAAACTTGTCACATATTTTTGCGTAGACACTCATCATTTGAAGATCTATGTTCTTTTTGAGGTCATTCAGTAAGTATCTGTGGTCTAGGATAGTAGACCCTGTTCCTTAAGAACCCCTATAGAAAAGAGCCCAAAGATTGAGATTGTCGAATGCAAAGGTCAAGCTCTTTCCTTGCATTTTGAAAATGTGTAGGCTTTTAACTTTAAATCATATTTCAAAGTTCAATGTATGCTGAAAATGCTAATATTGCCAGCATCAATTTCTGAAATTTTCTATCTGACACTTTTCTCATAAGTTTGCTTCACTAAAAGTCTCCATTTCACAAAATAAATCTCCGCTTCTTTAGGCTTTCTGGAATACCGTATCATTTATCACATATTGCCTGCCCCTGTCCTTTAACCTTGTTATAAGCCTTCTGATAAGCATTCTAGAAAGCTTCTATACTTTTGGAAAATGTATTTCATCAACTTCTAAATGAGTATTGGACACATGAATTGAAAACAAAAGCAGCTTTACAATTCAGTACAGAGTGCATAACTTAAGTCCATTTCGAAAAATATTTAAATTATGATATCTGCGTTTATAGCACAATTAATCATTGTAACACCATGACTGCCTTGACTTTTTCACATGGAACAAAAATGCAGGATTTGATGTTTAAAATGATATATAGTTTGCAATAGAAGTATGATAGGTAAGAAAAATAATTAGATTTAAAAATGTAACATATATTATGAAACACCCTGTACATGTGCAATATGAAACTCATGGCTCCACTAAATTAAAAGTTATGAGCACGGTTAAAGTTTTTACGGACAAAACAGACATACAGACAAACAGATGGATGGACACGACAAAAACTATATACTCCCTAATCTTCGATTAATGGAGCTTAATTATCAGTGGGTAAGTATGCTGCGTATGTCCTTAAGAGTAACTTATGAACAATATTAAAGTTTTTGTGACACAGACAGAGCTTCAAGGTCGAGGTCACTAATCATCGAAAGTTGTCATGTCAAATATGAGCACTCCATCTCTTCAGGTGCAGCAGCTTTTGCCAAGGTTAACTTTTTTTAATAAGTCAAAACTTCAAGTCCAAGGGGTCAAAATAGAACTTTGAGAAAGCAATTTAATTCACATTTTTAGATATAAAAGCTTTCTTCCCTCTCCTTCATCAGCTGTTCATGTTTGAATTTTTTTTTGCAACAGACCTTCAGCCTACAGATAACTGGATGGAAGTGAAAATTTTTCTTTTACAACTTTCACAGGGAACAAAACAATGGAGGTAAAATTATCAAATAAATAGATTTATTTCATATTTATTACAATGCATGCAACAAGAATTCATTCTATTGAAACATTAATTAGAAATGTAAATGACTAAGTAATACCTCCCCCCTCTTCCAAATGATAAAATGTAGAATTCTATTCTTAGTCCTTGAAGTATACATTATTCATTTAATGTCATTTGATTCAAATGTTTATAAAATATCTACCATCTATGACTAATATTCAAAATCAAATACCGGGTAATGCGAACAATTAAGAAGGTTCACAACACCAAACTTTTACTACAGAATCTTTAAAACATTGTTTTTGAAAAATATGATTTATTTGGTGTGGCATACATCTCTAAGGTACCCAGTACTACTTTGGTGCACGGTCTGAAAATCAAAATTTCCAAGCTCCAGAAATCCAAGCTCATGTCAAGCAATTTCAAAATAAATTTTTAGAATTTAATTCAAGGTCACTTTTCAGTATCAGCAGACTTATCTATAATGTAAAATATTTACATTGCATTAACAAATTCCTTCTATTTACTGAAAAAACCTTCAGTAACACATTTCCAAATATTATTGCATGATTTCACTCAAGCACAAAAAATAAAGAAAACAAATAACAGATTAACAGAAAATTTGTTCTAAAAAATAAACAATGATAAATAACAATAAACAGATGAAAAAAAATTTAGTTTGACAGGAAATACAATGCATGGACGGTAGCTCTAGTACTGTGGGATTTCCTCCGTAAAATAATTTAAAAAAAAAAATCAAAGAAATCTGGTACATACTTTGGTATCTAAAACTTGAATACAATGGATATGTCAAAGTATCGACCTTTTTTTCTTCATGTGTATAAACCACATATCTTTAATCATATTTCAAAGTTTATTCTTGGTCCCATCTTGTTTAAGAAAATGAGGTTTGCCAATATTTTTTTTCCATATCAGGATTCAAATAAATTTTATAAAATACCGGTAGTAACGCATTAGTTCTATCTATGTTATTAAGGAAAATCATAATCTTAGGAATTAATATCGATTGTAAAGAATAAAGTCTTCCATGAACAAGAAAAAAAGATGACACGGAATGAAAAGAATAACTCTTTCATACAACAACCTGGTTACACAGTTATTACACGAAAAACAGATATTTATCAGCAGTTCTCGTATCACAGATTCTCTTATGGCAAGATGAAAAATTTACCCAAAGTAAAATAAAACCAACACAATCACAGTTACAAGAGTCCTTATTAGCTTAATATTTTTGTATACATGCATATTCAGATATTGTATTTCTGCAGGAGAAACCAAAATTACATTGTTGTATAGTGTTGTATATAATAGGATTACCGGTATAAGAGAAGCAGAGCATATCTTTGCTGCAACATTAAAGCAAGTTTGCTCTACTAAAAATGTCTGTATCTTTTTTAGTCAAGCACAGTTTTTCATATACAGTTTAGATTTCTGAAGTATTTAAATTCACAGTAATATGCCCATATGAAAATATTCAAATAACAGTGATCAGGAAATGGTAACAAGAATTTAAACAAAATTTTTCATATGTCTGTGAAAATAAAGGTCTTTCAATTAATTGGCACAATATTTCATGCAGTTCATTGCTCACACGATAAAAACATTCATACGATTAAAAAAATGTTTCACAAGCAGTCACATAAAAAATAACACTTTCCTTAAGAGATAAAAAATATCTAAGGAAAAAATTGAATTTTCTCCTGGAACAAATTATTTAACAGTGCCAATGTGTTTTTTCATAGAGGATGTAAGCATTTTCATTTTTTTTTCTCCTTAAACGTTATCATGACTATTCAAGTAAATAAATATGGACGGTCTGTAATTTCTATTTAGGGTATAAAAAAATTCAAATTTTCTTCAGCCATTATAACATACAGGCTTACAAACAGGAATACAGGGAATGTAAACAAAGCACACTTTAAATTCTCATTAACGTACAATAAGACACTATAGCGACTTATTAGAAAAATAAAGTGGCAAGATCCTGTTCACTTAGACAGAGACAAGTTAATTTATAGCCGTGAAGGAGCAGAGATCTATCGAGGCAGGCTGAATCCCATCACAGTTATGTCCCCCTTCTTGTACGAGGGGATTGTGGGAGCCTTCTTCCTGTTATTTGTGTTGCCATTATGTTCATTTGACCCTGAAATACATAAAACACAAAGCTCATAAATAGATACAACATTTTCTGGATTACTAAATAAAAAGAAAAGATGGCATAAACGAGAAGTCAAATGTCACCTGGTTATAATACAACCCTGTTACGTACTAGACAAAGATAAATTCTCACCTCTGTTATTGAAGCGTTTAGTTTTGCCACCTCTTTTTGTAACACCAGGGGGCGTCCACTCCCTACTGTCACCTGCAAAATACAAGTTATCTTTCCATTAATGGACATAGATTTTAAAATACATCTACACCATATTTAAAAGCAATAACATTCTACACTGTCTGCTTGAAATATATATTTCATTTTTACTTTTAATGAAAGAAGTGAAATACATGTTTATTACATAAATATCTAATACTGTTGATTTTAAAATAATGTTACAAAACTGGATTCATGTAATTTTCTTTGAAGCTTCTGAACTGTGCTAGTTTAAATCATGCAAATAATATATCACTTCAAAATTTCTGGATGCATAATTTTGTGTTGCACTGCTGTGCAGAGTCTCAACTGTGTAGTTAACCTCCAAAGTGAAATTCCTTGCTTTTCACCCCAAAATCAATCTCAAACTGTGCAAAATTTTCTGTACACATTGTACATTTTATGAAGTGCTTGCAAAAAGTGATAAGCCATCTGCCTCGATGAGATGCGGTAATCAACCCCATCACCTCTGTGCTAAAAAAATGCATCACTCTGTTCAAAATGAAAACTCTGCACAAAATGGAATACTCTGCGCTCAAAGTGAATCACTCTCAGCTCCCAGTGGAACACTCCTTGCACTGTGAAATACTGCACTTTCTGCTCCACACTTAACTGGCCTACCTATAGGATTAGTCTCAGTGCTCTCGCCTGATTGGCGACTCCTGTGAGTATAGATCAGACCATTCCGTGCACTTCTAGGCCTGGCACCAGTAGGGGGCTTCCCTTCAATCTTCAGGAAACTGTCTGCCTTCTTCACTTTCTGTGGCACTGGTTTGGAGCTGTTGACTTTTGCATATGGTCTAACCTTCTTCTGTGATGGCTTTCGCTTCACACTTTTGTTAGTCTTCAGACTAGATTTGACATTGTCCTTTGAGATATCTCTATTTTTATCATCATTTTTCAGGGATTCATTTTCTGTTAGCAGACTACTGTCTACTAGATTTGTGGAAGCTAAGCTATCATTTGTTATCACAGAGACTAAGACACTGCTTGTTTCCATACTCTCACTGATGTGAGAGCCTTTAATGGGAGGTACTATTGGAAAAGGAGAGGTATGTTTACTGGGTACAGCTGAGTCAGAAGACTTTGTAACTCCCTCTTTCTTCTTGTTTGCAATGCTCTTTCTAGGTTGGGGAAGAGGAGCTGCCTGTGCCCATTGTTTGGTACTGTCACCATCTCTAGGAGTTGAACCCTGAACCTTTTTGGCAATGTCCTTTGCTTCTTCCCCAACTTCCACATCATCATCTGCATCAGCAACAACAGTATTCTCCCTTGAAGGCAGACTTTCATAATTTTCATCCTCATCTGCTCCCTTTGTTAAAACAGCACCGTCTTCAGATCTCACAGGTGCTTCTTGGTTTCCAGATAATGCTCTTGGAGAGTTCACCTCTGCAGTTTTGGGGCTTTTGTCATTGGAATCTCTCACTGTTCCATTTGATTTGAATTTGGATGGCTGAACTGTCTTTTTACCTGGAGCTTTGTCCTTAAACCCAGCCACTTTTGAGTGAACTTGTCTTCTATCCTTGTATCTAATGGTTGAGCCTCTACTAGAAATACCTCTATTGCCTTTCTTAGATATTCCTTGATCTTTTTCCTCTGACTTCTCAACAGTCAAGCTTAGGTTTGAGCCACTTGAAATAAATGTCTGATCTCTTCTCATCCCCTGAGTGACTGGCCTGTTTGCCCCCGTTTTCATTATATCAGTGACTGTTCCCTCTGAGTAAATAGAAGACAGTGTGTTCTCTTCTCCAATGCCCTGTGTCACTCCAAGCAAAAACTTGTTCTGAGGAGTCATCTGTGTGTAGGACCTCCTCGAGGAACAAGGGTCAATATGAATTGGGGTACTGGTAACTAAATCCCTTGGAGATATCCTGCCAATGGAATCGGGGTCTTCCATTAAAACACTGGCATGTCCTTCTGGGGCACTGGAAATCTGCCTCAATAACTCCACTTCTCTACTACAGGTATCTGCAGTTCTTGGGATCTCCAGGGAAGAATTTGCAGGTTGCTCCTCAGGGGCACTGGATATCTGTCTTTGGTACTTTTTCTCCAAGGCTGGAAGTTTATTTCTAGCACTTTGACCCATTTCTGGACGAGTCCTAAACATTGAACTCTCTTGCTGACTGTGTTTGAGAACATTCAAATGGTCCATGGACTTGCTCATTGGTTTAGATATTTTTGCCCTGGCAGCTGCTGGTTTTCTAGATTTAGCAGCTTGGGATTTTGTACCTGACTTGTAACTGACAAAAGAGTCATCCTTAGACACTGTTTTATTATTATTACCTGATTTTCCATTGTCTCCAAGGGACTGGGACCTTCTATTCTGAGTTACCTAGTGAAGAAACCAATAAGTGATTAGCATTGATTCCAGAAAACTTATTCTATAAAGATTGAAGGAAAAGAAGGGGACAAAATCAAGAAAAAATTAATTGTCTTAAAATTCCATGCTTAAGCTTTACATTGATCTACATGCATCAAATAGTCATGCACAAAAATAATTTTGATGACAAAGCCCTCTTATACTGTATCAGATATAATATACATGTACTTTGTTTCATCTGTTTTAATCTTAGATTTGACCATGTAAGGATGTTACTTACATCATAACCCCTTGTTCTTCTATTCCTCTTTATATCCCCTCGCCTGAAATTATTCTCGTTCCTCAGTGGAGGCAGTGTGCTGTCTGTGTTAGTACTCTGTTTAGTCCCTGTAGATATGTTATCCAGGTTATCCTCACTGGGGGGTTTATGTAGAGGGGGTAGCACTAGTTCTCCATAGTTCCTGTCATGTTTCGCCAGGGTGGATGGAGATAAATAATCATTGTCCGAATTACTCTTATCACCTGAATTTCTATACAATGTCCGAGGTTCACCTCCGAATTGCCGTTCCAAGTTCAAAAGGTCGCTGTGTGCCTTTGACCTCTTTTTAGCAGCCAGGGCTGCTATGCTGCGAGTGTTTGAAGCAATTTCTTTCCTATTGTCTGGCGATGGATGTCCAAATGCACCATTCTGATCACTGTTTCGACCACTTGCACCGTTACTTAAATTAGAGTCATTCCTCCAAGCACCTGTTAAGCTGGCCCCACCCTTCAGTCCTCGAGCACTCCTTGAAAAAAGTTTGTCATCTCCGTCACTGTAAGAAAATGTCTTCATCATTCAACTTCCTGCTACATCATTTACAGCACAGCATGCATATGTATGATAAAATGTGACTCTCTGCACACATATTTTAAGAATATGTTTCCTATGAAAAAGTTGTAAGAGAAATATTAGATCCTTACTCTTCAAACAATTACTCTATTGATACATGTAAGACTTTGTAATACTGAGTTAAATGAGAATTTGTGGTACAAGTAAATTTTTCTACTGACCCAGATCTGTAGGTCAGCAGGTTCCCCCGTTCGTCCTCCTCTGTCAGTGTACTCAGCTGATCCACCTCATCAGGCAGGTTACGGTAATTACTGGAATTGGACGAAGCCTGCAAGAAACAGGATAATTCTCATTAGAGTAGTTCAATGTATTGTGTGTAGAATTATTTTTTTAAGTCCTTTTTTTGCCATTTTGGGACAGTGAACAATTTCATAACTGGGTCTAAAAGATACAATATAAATTTTGAAAACAATTCATGAAGTACCTGTATTAAATATTGAAATACCTAAATATTTTTGACTGGCTAAAAAAAATGTGATCATGATTAACCTTGAAGTATTTTTTTTCATCTAAGATTGGGATGAGATGAGCTTAAGATACCTTTAGTTTAAGTTCGGGACTGCGATGTCTATAAATGAGATACCTTTAGTTTAAGTTCGGGACTGAGATGTCTATAAATGAGATACCTTTAATCTGAGTTCAGGACTGAGATGTCTATATATGAAATACCTTTAACCTGAGTATGAGACTGAGATGTCTATGAGATACCTTTAATCTGAGTTCTGGACTGAGATGTCTATGAGATACCTTTAATCTGAGTTCAGGACTGAGATGTCTATGAGATACCTTTAAATCTGATGAAATACCTGAGATGTCTATGAGAAACCTTTAATCTGAGTTTGGGACTGAGATGTCTATGAGATACCTTTAATCTGAGTTTGGGACTGAGATGTTTATAAATGAGATACCTTTAATCTGAGTTTGGGACTGAGATGTCTATGAGAAACCTTTAATCTGAGTTCCGGACTGAGATGCCCCGAGTCCTCTCTCAGCATCATCCTGTCGTCCTGTTCTAACTGATACAGGTTGTACAGCTCCTCTAAGTCCTGTGTGGCTGCTATCTTATTTTCTGTGCAAATTTAAAAATTCTGTCCAGGTTAAACTGACAAAATGTCGGAGAAAAAAATTGATAAATGTGGTATAATCACTTTGATCAGTTAATTGGAATGTAGAACTTCAGATGCAAATCTCATCACTACCTATTAAGGCAAAAATAAAAATTTACAACCATCACCAGCAAGATCCCAACACATGTATTCACAATGCACCACAAACAGTATTCACAAATCAAGTTTATCATAGAACTTTACATTTTTTTGCTCTTAGACCTCTTTTGAGAATCGGCATTTATAGCAATACAAAAAGAAAGAAAAGAAACCCAATGCAAATTCACTGCATTAATTGAACATCAAAACACACTTTTTATAAAAATATACCTGAATTTTGTAAGTCTGAGAATATATCAAGGATAATACTTCATTAGTTATATGAACAAAAAATTTAAGCTTTACGAAAATTAAAACTAATTTCTTGCATTTTTCTAACTTAAAGTTACCTTCCATAATTTTCTTTTGTCGTCGAATAATTTGATCACAGAGATTCTGGTGTTGACGAAATCGCGAAATCACCATATCTTTGCGCTTGATTTGGAATTCCCTTAGCAGACAGGCTGACTGCGTCTCTGTGTTTTCTATCTCCAGTTCATGGACTTTGCACAGCAGACTGAGGATCTCACGCTGGTCTTCTGTGTTGATTCTATGCGGGATTGTCTACAAAGAAGGGAAATAAAATATCTGAAACGTGAGCCAAGTAACCAAGTACATGTAAGAAAATACACCTATATTGTTACTTAAGATTAGGTCAAATATTGTCTGCAATTTTGATTCATAAAGTATACTAAATAAGTAAAACTTGTTTTATACAGAAAATTCTGGTTTCATAAAACTTGGCCTGATTCCACAACATTGCATATAATAAGACAATGAACAAGATTTTTGAATACACAACATGGCGATTAAACAAATTTCCCTGTTAAGGTATTTATTCTTCAGACAAAATCTCTATACCTCCTCTATACGTCTAGTTTTGACGCGGGCCTGTTCCAGTTCCTTCATTACGGTGGTACGTAACTTCTCGGTCCGATGTTTCTCGTCGTGAAGCACCTTGAGTTCCTCCCGGGCCAGCTTCACGTCCTCTGTCTCCTGGAGGTCGTCCGATCCGGCTCCCGCCAGCTCCAGAGCCTTAGAATCCTCTGTAAACAATAGACAGACAGGATATCAATTCTAAGGCACTTTAAACTTTTTAAAATATTATTTGGTGTGTTTTTTTAAAATTTCTTTTTAAAATTTTTATTCCCAACTATTTATTTTATTAAGATGGGGGATTTATTCATTCATTCAGAAGGGGCATCATTTACATTGGCATTTGTAAACTAGTGATTCTAAAGTTTATCTTTAATGTTTACTATATATTTTTTTTTATTTTTAAACAATATTTGATTTTGTATAAACTTAACAGGATTGGACAGCAGGCACTACCTATATAAGTCCTTTCCATGTTTACTATATATGACAATAGAAAATAATTGAGAAATTTTGAATGAAAAATAAAACTTAATTCAGTTAAACTTTAATTATTTTCATTTATTTATATATCTGTTTATTTTTCTGATTTCTGAGAAAAAGTTTGTAGGATTTGTCCTTAACAAAGAATTACTACTGATAACCTCTGATAATGACCAATACTTACCTGTGTCTGCCTTATCTCCCCCTTCCTTTCTTCTGGAAAATCTAGCTCTCTCCAACTCCCATCTATAAATATTAAAAAAAAAATCATGCAAACTTTGTATATTAAGTAGTCATACAAATTAATGTTCACCTACAAATCTGTTTACAATGATATCTTAATAAAATTTTAAGCCCCAAAGCCAGAAGACTTACTCGCTGATGATGAGTTGGTTTCTATTGGTTTCTAGGCTGACTTCCATAGAGGCATTGTTCAGCTCCATTAAACTTTTCCTGGTGGATGGAAGAAATGTATAAATTACACTGCAGATGTAAGTTGTTGTCTCCTTAAGAATATCACAAGTAAAAAGTACATTGCTGAAAGAATCATAACTCTGAACTTTCTTATTTAGATAATATAAAAGAATTAAGCCACTTTTAAACCATTTACAACTTTGACTTCAGTTTCAGAGAGAGGATAAACCATATTATATATAATTGAGTCTTTAGTAATCTGTACCTGAGCTCCATCTGATCCTTGAATGATATGAGCAGTTGTTCCTTGAGTTTGGTCAGTTCCTCCCTCTTTGCCTCCACAACTTCAGCTGTACAAAACAAAGATAGTACCATAGATCACTTTGTTTAGGCTTAATTATAGTGATAAGCTGCATTTTATTCTAATAACAGAGGAACCTCAAAAGGTAAGTTTATGATTTTCAGGCTATAAATTAGACATGTTCCTGAAATATACAGTATGTTTGCCCTGCATAGTCCTTAGAACAGAAATATCTATATGTATGTATCTTGTATAGGGAATATTTTGGCCCCGAGTCTGGAAACAGACATGTATGAACCTATATTCTTTTTGATGAAAGTGTAATGGCCTTGAACCTAGCCTTATTTATGCCTTGGACCCGAGTCTTGGGGCATAGTTGGGGCTGATACAATTTGCTTAAGAATTGTTGGTTTGGGTCTACACTTTTCTAAATTCCTTGTACAGAGAGTTTATTAGCCCATGGCCTGGGACTAGATTTGTTTTATGTACCTTGTGCCTAGTATATTGGCCCTGGCCTGGGACTAGATTTGTCTATGTACCTTGTACAGTAGAGTTGTACAGAGAGTATATTGGCCCCTGGCCTGGGACTAGATTTGTTTAATGTACCTTGTACAGAGAGTATATTGGCCCCTGGCCTGGGATTAGACTTGTCTATGTACCTTGTACAGAGAGCAGAGAGTATATTGGCCCCTGGCCTGGGACTAGATTTGTCTATGTACCTTGTACAGAGAGTATATTGGCCCCTGGCCTGGGACAAGATTTGTCTATATACCTTGTACAGAGAGTACATTGGCCCCTGGCCTGGGACTAGATTTGTCTATGTACCTTGTACAAAGAGTATATTGGCCCCTAGCCTGGGACTAGACTTATCTTTATACCTTATACAGAGTATATTGGCCCCTGGCCTGGGACTAGACTTGTCTATATACCTTGTACTGAGAGTATATTGGCCCCTGGCCTGGAAATAGACTTATCTATATACCTTGTACAGAGAATATATTGGCCCCTGGCCTGGGACTAGACTTGTCTATATACCTTGTACAGAGAGTATATTGGTCCCTGGCCTGGGACTAGATTTGTCTATATACCTTGTACAGAGTATATTGGCCCCTGGCTTGGGACTAGACTTATCTATATACCTTGTGCAGAGAGTATATTGGCCCCTGGCCTGGGACTACACTTATCGATATACCTTGTACAGAGAGTATATTGGCCACTAGGCCAGGAGTATATTGGCCCCTGGCCTGGAAATCGACTACTGGTATATTGGCCCCTGGCCTGGGACTAGACTTATCGATATACCTTGTACAGAGAGTATATTGGCCCCTGGCCTGGGACTAGATTTGTCTATGTACCTTGTACAGAGAGTATATTGGCCCCTGGCCTGGGACTAGATTTGTCTATGTACCTTGTACAGAGAGTGTATTGGCCCCTGGCCTGGGACTAGATTTGTCTAATGTACCTTGTACAGAGAGTATATTGGCCCCTGGCCTGGGACTAGACTTGTCTATGTACCTTGTACAAAGAGTATATTGGCCCCTGGCCTGGGACTAGACTTATCTTTATACCTTATACAGAGTATATTGGCCCCTGGCCTGGGACTAGACTTGTCTATATACCTTGTACAGAGAGTATATTGGCCCCTGGCCTGGGATTAGATTTGTCTATATACCTTGTACAGAGTATACTGGCCCCTGGCTTGGGACTAGACTTATCTATATACCTTGTGCAGAGAGTATATTGGCCACTGGCCTGGGACTAGACTTATCGATATACCTTGTACAGAGAGTATATTGGCCCCTGACCTGGGACTAGATTTGTCTATGTACCTTGTATATTGGCCCCTGGCCTACAGAGAGTATATTGGCCCCCCTGGGACAAGCCTTGGCCCCTGGCCTGGGACTAGACTTATCTTTATACCTTATACAGAGTATATTGGCCCCTGGCCTGGGACTAGACTTGTCTATATACCTTGTACTGAGAGTATATTGGCCCCTGGCCTGGAAATAGACTTATCTATATACCTTGTACAGAGAATATATTGGCCCCTGGCCTGGGACTAGAGTCTATATACTTGTCTATATACCTTGTACAGAGAGTATACCTTGGTATATTGGCCCCTGGCCTGGGACTAGACCTTTGTCTATATACCTTGTACAGCCTGGGACTAGACTTATCTATATAGTATATTGGCCCCCGGCCTGGGACTAGATTTGTCTACATACCTTGTACAGAAAGTATATTGGCCTCTGGCATGGGACTAGATTTTTCTATGTACCTTGTACAGAGAGTATATTGGCCCCTGGTCTGGGACTAGTTTTGTCTAAATACCTTGTACAGAGAGTATATTGGCCCCTGGCCTAGGACTAGATTTTATTTATATACCTTGTACAGAGAGTATATTGGCCCCTGGCCTGGGACTGGATTTGTCGTGGAGCCTGTGTCTCAGTCTCTGGATCTCCTCTCTCAGCTCTTGGATGATGTTGGTGTACTGAGCTATGTGATAGGACACATCAGTCACATTCCTCCTCACCTGTAAAGGCAAAGCAACAAGAATGAAATTTTTGATTCGATAGATCTCTCTAAATTACAGATGAAAAACAAATTTGATATTCTTTGATGTTAAATAAAATAAAAATAAAAAGAAAATTATCCTGGTTTAAATTTATTTCAATCAAAGACTGAAATATATAAGGTTTAGAAATCAGAAACAATCTCATGAAATTATGGACTTCTGTCTAGGTCGATATGTGGTTATAAGGACCCATGTCAAATGAGACACAAAAAGTGATAGTGACTTAGCTTGGAATTTGTTCTTATTATAAATACACATTTTATGATCATGTATGTCCATATAAGCTTTGTTAACCTTTGTTTTAATATGTTTTGCTCTGTCAGCATAGACCAGGGTATTTCTGGATTCCTCGAAATGCAGGGAGGCGGGGCTAATGTGGGCGATCATGACCGTTTTACAGTTCCCTCCGAGAGCTTCTTTCAGGAGTCGAGTCAGTTTACTGTCTCGATAATTCACATACTTAGAGCCTTTTGTATCAGCTGAAAGAAGATTTAAATTTCAGCATTATCATCTTTGACTAGGATGAATCTTCATAATTCATGTATCTACCTCTTGGTTTAAATGCTATTGTTCTGTGTAATTATTCATTAACAAAAAAATGGGAATTTAACACATATACTCTTTATGGTTGCCAACCAACATCCCATTCCAGCATTCAAGCAATTACAATGTCTGTGGAATATTTAAACTTTAATGTTTTACTCATTAGCTTAAAAGCAATTTGATTTCAGTGGAATGACTTTGCAAAATATAAGCAATTTACTGACACCAATTAGGGTATTGATTCCGGGGTTACACCTGACTCATCTAAATGTTTCTCTCTCCCATTCTTACGTATATAAGATTAGAATGCCTATATTCTATCACATAATATCCATCTCAAATGGTGCAAAAGAAATAAATTCTTGTGCAATATTGTTGAGTTCAACAATGACATCTAAATCAAAATTACCAAGACAAGTACATCAAAGTAATCCTTTAGAAAACAGAAATAGGTCTTAGTTTTGACTTTCCATATGAGAAAGAAAAGCTTACTGAGGGCATTTATACAGTTTCCAAGGGCAAGGAGGGATCTGTTAATATGGGCTCCCTCTACCATACGTTTCCCCCGATTATGTGTGTTAGCGGCCCTCTCCGATCCCGCTAGATCGATCATGAAGAGTCGCCCCATCCTGACTTCCTGTGTTGTGTTGCGGACACGATTTTGTTGTTTGATGGACACCTGTAGGACAGCGTGAGATCGGGAGGACGTCTTGTTGGCTGCTGTGGGTTCCTGGGTCCTCTCTTTATTTCCCTTCAGTAACATGTCTATCACCTAAAATAAAAAAAGTAACCACTGAACACTAATTTAGATGTAGAATATAAATTCATTATTTGTCACCTGTGTAATATTTCATAGAAATTGATTTTCAACAAATTAGTAGAGATTTAATTTGGCATTTTCTGATTCTACTTGTCATAAAAATAAAAGTTACAGAACATTAAGCAATGTATATTTACTCCTTTCTGTCAAAGGTGCTAACGAGAATTCATTGTCAAATGTAACAGCTTTACAATATGTTCTTTGCTATCATTTAAGAAGTTAAATTAACGAAAAGTAGTTCAAAAGAAATTCTGACGTTTAGAGATCTCTTGATCTCCTAGTCATGCAGATGTTATAGCTGAGAGAGGAGGAAGGGGGTGGGGGTTAGTTACCTCATCGGTTGACCTTGCCATGACCTCTGACAGTCCTGCCACCTGGACGCCTCCTTTTGCATCCTCACGTAAGTCCAGAATACCAGCACTTGGATTCAAAAGGTCTCTGATCATTTCATTGTATATCTGAAAAGGAAAAGGATCTTGAGTTATTTTTTTATTCAACCCAAGTGAAAAAATTTTCAAACAAATCACTTACAAATTGCCTACAAATTGCTTTAAAATCACTTTAAAGTGATTTGTTTCAGTGATTTGTAAGCAATTCATTTAACAAATCATGCTTAAATCACTTTCTACCAAAATGATGACTATGATTTGCTTACAATTTGTTATGAAAGGGTGATTTGCTTGTGATTTCTTTCCCATTTCAGACAATTTCTGAGTGATTTGTTAAACTTAGGAAATTGTTACAGTGATTTCTTCATGATTTGTTGAACTTAGCCATTCTTCAAGGTGATTTGAAAATGATTTCTGGAACTTTTTTTCTTCAAAGTGATTTGAAGATGATTTGTTAACTTAGACTTTCTTCTGGATGATTTGTAAATGATTTGTTGATCTCATGGTCCTTCTTCAGAGTGATTTGAGAGTGATTTACTTTACAACTTCCGCCTGGCTTGCTGATTGGTCAGTATTAGAAACTCCACCGCCAATTTTTATTTATCAGATTTGAATTGAAATGAAAGGAGCTAGATTGTGCTGTTCTAGATTCATACCTCTTTTCTTTTGTTGAAACTGATGTTTTCTCCATAACCGTGCAAAATATAGTTTTAAGGTATGTATAACTGTATTATGCTATCATTTCCTCCTTAGATTCAGTTAATATTCCCTATGTTTACATGCAATTTACTGTTCTGCAGAAGACCTGAACAACAAAGTTGGTAGCAATTAATGTTTAAAACAAAATCTATGTAAAGCTAGCAAAGTACTTGCTTTTTCAAAGTGTCTACACAAATATTTATTTCAGATAAGAAAATTAACATTTACCAACTTCTAAAAGTCAACAGTTATATGCTTATAGCTTATTCTTAATTTGGAGCCAAGTGTGTAGTTGAAGTCATGTGTCTATATCTAAAATACATGATGCCATCTTAATTAGGACACATCCTAGTAAAAGTTTATATTTTAAAATACTCTTGCCAAAAGTATTTTAGTTAATATACATGTACAACAAATATGCATGCATGTGTGTTTCAAATAGTAAGAGAGGGATGGTTACATGAGCATCATGCACACACGTGTGTATGCACCTGGAGTAATTTGAAAGTGATTTGTTAAACTGAAATGATTTGTTTGCAATTTATTTGAAATGATTTGTTTGCAATTTATTTAGAGTGATTTGGTTGCGATTTGTTCAACAGAAGTGATTTCTACACAATTTATTCAAGTGATTTCGTTATGATTTCAGGGTGATTTGCTTACAATTTGTTAGGAGTGATTTGTTAGCTCATTTGCATGGGAATTTGCATCACTTACAAATCATCTTCAAATCACTGATTCATAAGTGATTTGTTAAAGTGATTTGTTTGAGGATTTTTTTCACTTTGGAAGTTCTAGATTGAGCCATATGGATAAAACGCCGAGATCATACAGTACACTTTAATATTTTGACAGTGGGTCCCAATTTAATCTGGAGTATTCATACTACTCAAACACCGAATAATTCAGTGATTGTTGTAAAATCATATGATCCTTTAATGATACAGAATACAAAAAACTATCTGTTAAAGATCAAAATTTACTAATATAAAAAATTTAATTAGAAACCAATTTTTCATTTCAAAGAGTAGCTCTGTCATTCCTACAACCTGTGCAATGAAAATTTTTAAAATTCTTTTTGCTGACGTCTCCTCAACAAAACAAACCAGTAGGTTTCCAAGTGCATCAGAAATTGAGTGTCATGAAGCTAAGCATTTCTAAGGGACACTTAAAAAAAAAACACCAACAGATGGTGTGGTGTGCGATATTCTTCCATTAAACAAAGGGGCTGTAATTCTCAGTAGCCATTATCATTCCTACCTGGTGCATTTAACACAATCTATCACCTAATATCATAATTGAACTATCATGTTCCCCAAATAAAACCAGCACATTAAGTTGATGAATTATATAAATGGCAATCTTCAGACTTTATAATTGAACATTTGATTAAATGTCAGAAAAGTTGTGGATTCTTCAATAAGTGCCAGCAAATAAGTGATATCAATTTTATATGTCAGTATACAAATCAAAATTTTAAAAGCAATATGCATTTTGAGTAAAGTCTCAACCATGACAGAGCATAAATATGACATGCAGTTTAAGAAATAAATCATTTCTTTAATTGCTTAAGTTGTCAATTTAAAAAATGTTCTCACATTGTCTACATAGATCTAAGTAAACAACCAAAGTAAGGATTTGTTAAGTTTTTCTTAACTGGATTTTTTATGGTGTAATATTTATTTATTCTGTTGTGTTCATAAAAGATATATGATGGGTAAAAAGAAAATCCTAATATTTAATTTGGGCACATTCATTTCTAATCTACTTGAGAGAAAAAAATCAATTGTGAATGTTTCTAATAATAGTTTTTTTTTTCTAAAGACTTTAATTTATATATAGTGCAGCTTTAAGTACACATAAATCTCTTAGTTCACAAATGTTAGCAAAGTGGTTAATATGTAAATAAAATTTACAAGGGGATTTCTTTTTAGCATTCAATTTGTAAAATATGGCATGTTATTAAATCTTGCCTATTATGAAATTAAATGAACTAAAAAATCCCCAATCATGCACATCTATAACCTGTATTCAGATTTAAATTGACTCAAGGCCAGCCAGTGTATGGATTTCAAAATGAAAAAATATAAAAATGTGCTATTGAAATTTTATCCTTGCTCCTAATCCAAGGTTTATACAGGGCAGCAGCAGTAACAATAAAGATTTGAACTTATCAAGGTTATAACTTCGTTTGCCCTTTGGACAATTCTATTGATCATGGTCTCTTAGAGACTGCTGTAAAAAAAATTGACTCTGGGTCTTGCACACACCAAAAAAAAAAATTCCAAAAACTTTAGATTGCTAACAAAACACAAAGCTATGGGTAAGAAAAGATATCAAAAGTCTATATATCCTAGCTTTATTATAAAGAAATAAAAGGATGAAAACACAATGGGATGTTTCTCTGTCTGTCTAATCCTAGATACATCAAGTGAACAAAGAAGCATCAGTTTCAAAGCTCGCTACGTAAAGAAAATATTTTTTATCGTGTGAAAGTTACATGGTAACGAAACATTTATAACATGCATCAAAGGACAAAATAAAGTAGGATCATATTTTATTATTTCACATTATCCCTAATTTACGATGTGGATCGATAGAATAAACCTCAGATAAACTTTAGGCAAATGACGTGAATGCATTTGTCACTGCAGTCTTCTGAAATTCTCATAAAAATTAATGACAAGATAATTATCAATCATTCACCCAACTTGAAGTGCTATTTCCCCCCTTTTAAATTTTTTAAACCACATCGATTATAAATTTTATTTTTATTATCCAAAACTTTCCCCGGATTGATTTTGGATAAAACGAATCCGCGAGATCAAGTTTCAACGTTGTTGATCAAGATGAATTAATTCCAAACATGGTCCTGACAGCAACAAGGCAGAAATAAGCAGGATGAAATCAGGCCCTATATTCCCTCTTGTTGAGGCACAGTCAAGTTTGAATGCATCAATCAGGCTTAAAATATGAGCGGATGGAACCCCGATTCAATGCGTGGTTAATTATTTGATCCCTCCAACGGGAATAACTAGAGGGATTAGACGGAACTTTATCAGGTTTCTGCTTGTCATCCCTTAATCTTGTTACTCTACCAGATTTAATTTCCAAAGTATGCATTGAAATTTTACTGCCCCACGATTCCATCTTTTTTTCTAGGTATATCGGGGTATATTCAGAGTATAGATTGTGACAATACTAGTAATTTAACCTTTACTTTCACTTCAAATGAAATCCTGGTACAGCTTTGAAACCCTTTTGATATTTTATTTCAGATTTCATATAAGCTGGTTTTCATATCCAATATTCTTTTATGAAGCCTGGAAAATGTCTGATTCAATTCAATGTCATTTAAAAAGATCTCTATTTTTGGTGTGTGATCGGCTTGTCATTTTACTTATTTCTCTTTACAAAGTAACCTCTGAAGAATGCAAATGCACTGCGATGATTTTGAAATTCTGTTGAGTAGGCCTTGTAACATACTCTTTTACGTATACATGTACTCTTAGTGATGACAAAATAGAAACTGATTTACAGCATAATACCCTAACAACTAGTATGAAAAATGTCAGTCAGCACTAAACTTTATGATACATCGTACTTGCCAACATGATCACTGTAAATCAACCAAAATACTTGTGAAATGTTGACTTTAATTAAATGAGACTTGATATCCTTCATCAACATCTTTATTAATAGCTTGCCCCATTTTAGAAATTGTTTATAACAATATAAACACGTAGTGAAATATACAATTTATTAAAATCTTGCGTTAAGAATGAAATTTAAGTAGGAGTCATTTTGATAATTTAATTTATTTGATATTTCTAGGGATGTCAACAAATATTCGAATATTCGAATATTCATTCGATGAGTTGATATTCGAATATGATTTTATGATTCGAATATTCGTTTTTCAGCATAAAAGCATAAAAAAGAGAGAAAACCTGGCAAGTTTTATCAGAAATTGAATAAAGTTTGTAAAAATTAAAAAAAGAATACTCTTCTTGGATTACCTTAAAGGTGTGGAAAGTGTATCTATTAGAGTAATATATTTATTTGTTCACTTAATTAGTAGTATAATAGTTTCCAGTACTTACAATCAGCTTGTATTGTGTAAGGACACAGTTTTACAGTAAACATACGGACCCCTTGTTTATGTAAAAATCATTAAAAATCATTATCAGGTAATTATAATTAGCAAAAAGTAATTGCTTTTAATATTTCACCATTAGATAATTGTTCTACTTGGTATAAATTTGTAGGAGTTATCAGTGTAGACTTAAGTAAAACTATCAATTAATCTGGAACATACTAAAGAATCTTTTGAATTTTCTAAAAACTATCATTACATTTGGGATGTATACTATTCAATATTTTTTTTTTAAAACATAATTGCAGTGTAATTGCAGAGTATTTACCAAACGCTACATGAGTTTTTATTCCGAAATAATGGCATAAACTCTATACTACTTGACAGGAGAGTGAAGATATATATTTAATAAAGCAAGGTGTATTTATTTTATCGAATATTCGAATATATTCGAATACTCCCATCGAATATTCGAATATCAATTCTTGACAATTTTGACATCCCTAGATATTTCTAATGCTTCCCTTTCCTAAATCTCTCAAAATTACACATCCTAACAAACAGGACAATTTCTAATAACAACAACATAAGTTATTTTTGTCCCATAGTACCTACCTCTAAATAGGACATGGTCACTTTGTAGGACATGTCCTCACTGGTCCTCTCTACTTCTAAAAATAGATCATTGAGGGCCTGGGCCATGATTCCCGGCTCATCATGTGCCCCCAGCATTGTGTAGGTCTTCCCAGCACCTGTTAATAAGTATGAAAGTTAATAAATATACCGTACATAAGTTGATCAAAGCTCAATTTTAAAGGAATACAACATGTATTATCAACACTATTATGTACATGTATATCTTGAATATTGAATGACAAGCTACCAATTTCCTAGAGAGGGCACAATGGAATAACACATCTCTCCAGAAAGTTTTCAAATGTTACACATTTTCCTACCCAGTGGTTTGACAGATTTTTTAAATGATTTTTCTTTATTTCCTTGGAAAGGGAACTTGGTCTATATAATTCAACAATTTAGAAGCCTCTTTACCTTGGCTAAGATGAATGTGCCAATTTTGGTTAAAATTGACCAAGTGGTTCTTGTGAAGAAGTCAAAATGTTACATTGCCAAGTTTACAGAAGGACAGACAATCACATAGACAGACAATGGGTGATAGGAAAACCTCACTTTAGCTCAAGTAATCTTAAAATTGCATATAGATGTAGGATCATGTAGCCGAGACTAACTTTGACAAGTGTCAACCCTCAAAGGCTACTGTCAATCTTGGCTGCAATGTGATTGACAACAAAATAAAAGATTTTCAATGATACCAATATCCATGTACAGTGTTTTCAATTATCTTCTGTAATTTGAAACACAGGATTCTAGCATCACTACTTGTAGCAAATTAGCATTTCTATATATGGAACAAATTCCCTCATCTCCAGTACGTCTGTAACCTTATATTTTATTCAAGAAGAACATATTAATCTGAGGGTAACCTCAGTCAGTTAACAACATTACACTAAATGTATCAGGCCAATAGGGTACTGTGGCCACATAAAACACGATCAATGTGTCAGTTGTACCGTATTTTTACATTAAGGTGAAAAAGGGATATTTTTGGCCATTATTATTTTTCACCTAAAACAGGTATAAATTTTATCATAAAACAGATTACTAAAACTTTGTGTGCATGCAGACAAGATTTATTTTGTTGATTGGTTTCAACCACAGACAGTCATCATATCTTAATAGTAAATATAGTGTACTTTCCAAAACAATTCTGCTCATTTTATACTAGCCCCAAATCATTTTGTTTGATTTTTTAGCATTTATTGCTTATGTTATTTTTGTTAAAGGACAAAAATACAAACATTTTTTTTGTTTGTTTTATCTCTTTAAAGACAATGTGTGAAAAAATTGAAAAACTGGATAATTATATACAGAATTTTATTTTACTACTAATCCCTGCAATCTTTCTAAAATTGCAATTTTAGAAAAATAAGAAAAAAATAATTCTAATGCTCGAGTATATGATATATGATCTACAAATGAGTGGGCTACCTATTATTCACAATAAGATGATCAATATATTGGTAATTTGATTCTGCTCATAGATTTCTTCACACTTTCTAAAAATACTATACAAGCTATATATATAGCCTAAGATTTATTATTAAAATTGGATACTATTGCTAATTAAAATAAGACAACTATTTATTTCACAGCAAGAGGAAATTGGAAACAAACAGATGACAGTGAAACCTTGCCCACTGTTAGAGCTCTTTGAAGTTAAGATTATATGGCCACTTCAAACGCTCGATTTATCTCAAGCTGTTTTTCCATTTGTATTTGCTAAACACTCATAGTGGAAAAATCCATGATAAAATCAATGCATGCGATATATGAAATCTGCAGGTCAATAAAATTGGCTGAAAATGTCAGTTGTGTCATAATGATTTGAAAAGATCCATTATGAAAACATTAAATACATTCATTTTAATATCAAAAAGTTACATAAAAACCTAAATTGCTCTTTTCAAGTTTTGCGGAAGTGATCAATAATACTCAATGTACGTACTACATAATAAAAAGTTTCGAAAGTTAAACCTCAGAACTAAGAATGCTCAAATATTATTTACAATATTACATGTATGGTAACCATGCATGTGTTTTGGGGTAAGGAACTTCGATGGCAGTACATTTCTGACTTATTCTTCATTGTTTTGAGATTTTTGAGTATGGACACTTCAAACTAAAACTGATTTATAAAATGGTGTAATTAAAACCAGTTGGACCATTGGAAACTTACCAGTGGCACCATAGGCAAAAACAGTGGCATTATATCCCGAAATGACACTGGGAATCAGAAACTGTGAGGTCGTTCTGTATACTTCTCCCTGTAAAATATAAAACATACATCAATGACCTGATAACAAATAAAAATTAAGATATTTAAATCTTTAATTGAAACACATATACTGTACATTCCTAAATATAAGCTGGGAATTAAAAATCATAAATATATCACAAATGAAAACCAGACAATTCAAGAATAATAAAAAGTTTAAAGCTTTTATTTTTATGATGCTGAAATCTATGTAAAATCTCTTTATCGACAGAATACATTTGAAATTTTTTCAAGTTATACACATTTCTTTGCTTAATTACTTAAATATTTACAAATAATAATTAAGATATTAAAATCTTAAATTGAAACACATAATTAAAGTCAATTTCATGCATTATAGTATGCAATTTTCAATTTTTTCCTTTCTTAAAACACATTTAAAATAAAATCTCCAATTCAATCTAATATCAATAAATATTTACTTTTCAACAAGTATTGACTTTACAAAACCTGTCAACCTTTCATTCAAAATGTCATCAGGAATTTTAATGTAGCTAATTCTACTGATATATCATAGTACAAACAAAGTGACCATTCGTAAAAACTAGCCCAGGTACAATTAACCCCTCATGTTCCACCCATCCCAACCTGTCTGTGGTAGCGCTGGAATTTTTGATCAATATACAGCTATTGTCCACGAGGCTTTGAAATTTTCATATATATGTATATTATCTATGAATTATAAATAAATGGAGTCAAATATTATGCTTTGATAGGCAAAAATGTATTGATTTTTTTTGTCTCACTGTACTTGTTGCACAATACAGAAAAATTCATGAAAGTTTCTTTGAAAGATGCAAGTTTTCCCTGAGGTAATATTAACAAAATGCAATAAAATTTTCTCCATTATGAGCTTTTTCCCATTACGATAATGATGGAAATAGTTGTCCTAATTACCATAATTTAATAATAAAGTGTAAATTTGAATATTTGCAGAAGTCCTCATATACACGTATTTCCTAATACACATGTACACTTTTCTCATTTTCAACTATTGCTATAAGACATATTTTTTTAGTACTTTTTTTATGACAAACTATTTATTTGTATCTCAAAATTGGGTAATTATGTGCATATACTGTATCATTGGCTTTTAATATGGCCTAAATTTTTCACTGAAATTAAGTTGATCCATCAAAAAAAAAATTGTGATTCCATTTGAACTGCAATACCTATAAGATATAATTATATGTTTTAGAGTTTTACAACTCTGAGCTAAATTCTATATATTTTCAAAATATGACAGAACAACAGAATTTGATCAGCAAAAAAATAAAAAAAAATGCTAATATTTCTGTTATGTGAAAAATTTACTCATTGAAAGACTAGACTTTCATGGCATTCCTAGCTGTACCTTGGCACCCTATAACCAAAACTAGATAACATGCCCACAATACTATGTTCCTGGACTTGAAAATAAAGTCACTTCTTTGATATACATCAAACAAAACCATTTTTGCTCAAACATGGTCATTAAAATTTCAATGCTAGCAGTTGGGGGGTGTTTGAATCAGCCAAAAATCAAATGCTTTGAATGACCCGACAAACAAAACAGTTTAAACCTTTTTCTTGGGCTAGCTACTAGAGGTATATACAAAAAAGTTGTTTTATCTATGTGACTTGAAGTGGATTTAAAATTCTTTTGTTCGTTCTCAAAGAAAGTCAAGCAGATGACAAGAAAATAATGCATCAATAAAAAAAAAAGTGTATACGAAAATATTTAATGATTCTCTATGGGTGTGTTTTCTTAACAAGATAATTAGAAAATATTTAATCCCCAATATTCACACTGATTTAATACAATTTACTGCTGGAAATTTACACCATGTGCATATAAATATTAATAATAATATCGGGATTTAACTTCTTTGTGTGCGTACACAAATATTGTGATATCTCAGATAAGGGATAACCTTATTGTTGTTCTTTTTAAATAGAATAAAACAAGTCCCATTTAACGCAATTGGAACATTACAAATTATTTCCTAAAGCTACAATTTCCAGGTCAAGTAATTGCCAAGTGCACATTGGAATCAATTCCTCTCCCAATATCCCGGTTCTACAGGTTTTTCGGAAGTCACATTTCCTAACTGGAACCGAAAATGTTTTTAAAAAGCTCGAAAACTGTTTACTTGATTCAAGAGCTGGGTACTTTTTATTAAATAACTTGATTAAGCATGTAATCTGATGGTAAAATAATGTCTTTTTAGCGTTGTGTAAGGGTATTTATTTCAGTCTTGTTTACTGCTCAGATCTGATTACCAATTCTTGAAGTACATGCATCAAACTGCACGCATTGCACATTCAGCAATTGTTATGAACTTGGCAAACCCTAAAGGCTTTAATACATATTTAATCTTCCTGAATTCATTTTGATTTAATCTTGTTTGAATGTTAACTCAATTTATGTCATGCATGAAATACAAGATGCTTCTTCTTGGAATTTTTATTGTTTAATTTGTAATTCAATTTTTTTTGGGGGGGGGATTCAAATTATTTTGCATTAGAATGTATTTTATGAAGCAAATTGTCAAGTACAACTGTATACTTTACATATACTTTAAATAATTAGCACAGTATTGTATAAAAAATCCACATGTAAGATGTACTTGATAAGCAAATGTCAAATTGCAAGCACCCATACATTGTCTATCATCAAATATTTTGACCCAAACAGATGGAAATGACCTAAGTTGCATATTGTCAATCTTGCTTTTTCAATGTTCCATATTTTTTCAAGATGTGTAAAAACTGTATGACAGACTTTATCTCAAATACAAGAAAACTTTTCCTCATTATACCTCCTGTCCATCACCCTCCTCCTTCCTTTCTGTTCATTTTTAGACGGGGTCACGTGACCCCGTCTTTTAGTTTACTCTCAGAGGCCTAAAAATAGAAAACGGAAGCCGTGGTGATAACACATGAATTAAATCTACGCATACGAAAGAGTGCAGAAATTGTTTCGATCAAAACATAAACATTTTGTATCAAACTGAAGAAATTGATATGAACCTTTGTCTAACTCAATTAATAAAGTATTTTGATAATTTAAAACTGAAAATATTAACTGTAAATAACACTAGTAGACAAAGTACTATCCTGCGTATTATTATGACTGTGTATGCATCACATAGTTTACTTCCGGAAAAATTATTAGTTCGTACCTGATGAAATTCGGAGCAGTTCAGAAAGGTTTCAATTATTAAAATTTTCTACTTCAAATCAAATTAAATGAAAAATGTGAATGTATATTATATATTATTCATATTTTTGTTTTTAGTGTGTTAATGAAAAGATAAAGTTGTTATTAAAACTCGTTAAAAAAATCACATTTGTGAAATCTAGCATGAAGATTATTTTGACCCCGTCTTTCAGTACTGTCTCAGTACTTTGATTCTACTTCAGTATTATGGCTATTGGCACGTTTTTTGTCTTTTTGTTTAGGGGGTCATGCATGCATAACGGTTTGTGAATAATAGATTTGTGTCTGGATTAAATCACAATGAAATACCAACACTATACGGTTATTTAAGCCTTTAGCCATGGGCCAAGAGAGGACTGGATAAACTTTAGTATCAACAGTTAATCACTGTAAACCAGTATACTAAACACAGTACAATACTGATATATCTACAAGTACTAGACCTTAGTCAACAGTGACTGATGAGTAAATAAAACTACACTTAAGGGACCCCCTAATTTTGGTTACCCAGCATGAATATGTGTACAATGTAGATTAATAAATGCATAGTGGAATCTACATTCATGATTGTCTAATCAATGTTTCAAATGTCTCCAAGTCACAAGTTGATAACAAAATTGCTTCATTGAGCTCTTATCTAAACTTGTATTCACTATTCATAATCATTTCATTTCACACATATTTAGAGTTTTCAAAGAGCATCTCTATTTATATACATGTGTGTATCTTTTCCTACCTCCTCTCTACAGTGTATGATGGTACAATTAAGAGAATAAATCATTGTCATTGTCTATTTTCATTTCATCATTTATGTACCTGAGAAGCACCCCCATCAAATGTATAATCGAAGACGAACTGCTTCTCTCGAGAACGATTGGCTCGCAGCACATCCTCGGGGTCTTCCATTGGGTCCATCAACACCACCATCTACAAAGGATTCACAAGATTTAGCATGAGTGGAAAGATTTTTAACTTTTTAAAATTATAAGCTCATCTAAATTAAGGTATGGTCTACCCTATACATGATATAAGAAGAAAGTCTTGTGCTCAGTATTTCTTTTTTCATTATCATGGTCAAAAGACAGTTTTTTTTGGCATTTTCAAAATTTTTGCAAATTAATTCACTTTACAGCTGTACCCGTAACTTCATTATAACTGACTTTTACTGTACTGTTCATTTGTGCATAAAAATCCACTGTACATGTATGCTCAATGAAGAAACATTGCTGCTTATAGTCCTCAACCCACCAGCAGACAGATGGACAAAACAACTTACAGACACACAGACAGGGCATACTGTATGTCAGCTCTACTTTGTATAATTCTTTTAGATTCTTCAACATAGGTTTTCCTCTGGCACAAGGAAATAATTATGGTGTTGCAGGAAATCTTTCATGTGTGGGCTCTAAGTAATATAGCCCTAGAATTTCTATTTTAGGCAAGGTATTAATTTCAACTTTCATCATATGGACACTAAAATCCTCAGATTCACTGCTATTATGCAGCTTTCATTTTAAGACTCAGCTGAAAATAAAATTTCTATTCATCTCTAGGGTTACACAAAAAGAGCAAGAGTATCTCATTATATCTATTTAAGTAAATTCTTAATTAATTGCAGGTGGATTTATTTGCCTATTTAACATTGCAAGGGCACTCAATTTCTCAAGGAAAAAACATTCTTTATGTGGCATATACATGCAGACCAAAGATTTGAAATTTTTTCCCCAAAGATTTTGCATGTGTCAAACTTTCAATACATGCAGTGCTTTTGAGAAATTTCATCCTTTGATCCTTATATTTCCCATTCTTTCCTTTTAGCAAAACATTGAGATGAGTAGATGAACTTGAAACTCACAACTTAAAGGTACACTCTTTCAAAATCCTTAAAATCATGCTGAGCTTTTATATTAAAAAGGGACTTGAAATAACCTCTTCATTTCTTGAATGTATTCTTATCAAAAACACAAACTAAACACTTCATTATTACCAATGTCCTCAAGAGTGACCTATAAGAAAACTGAAGCCTTGTTTTGCTAATAAATATTTTTTGTATTTTGAAAAGCAATTTCTTTGATTTGTTTGGACAATGACAAAGTCTTTTCTTATTACATTTAGCCATTCCAATTTGACATTCTGTTGAGAAAATGATTCAAGCAGAAGATCTTTGTACAGATATCAATGTACTTTTATACGGAGAATCGCTGATTGATATTTTTGATTGCCTATCATCCAAACTAATTTACACGTCTTTCATAGGGAACAGAGTGTGTAAACATGAATTCACAAGCGATATTTAGAGTGAACAAACTGAGAATACCCCTTCGTTGTTTGTCCATAACAATACAATCTAAAATCAAAACTATTTGATATTTACTTCCAATTTGTTCCAAAACTACATTACTAAATTCCTTGGCTGATCTGGAAGTTTTCAAATGAAAACAATTTCACAAGGTTTTGTTGAACAATTATGAACAATTATTAGGCAACAACTGTTTATAAGCTTTACACAGTTGAACTGAAATGGAATAAGATTATTTTATTTACATAAATACTGGGTAACAAGGCTTTAAACAGCATATTTCAGAGGAAAAAACATTCTCATTCATCATTCGATTCATTGGAACTGATGTTTTCTCATTTCAATGTAGTAAATATGGCACAGTAAACTGTGGATTCTGACAATGACTTTAACTTAAATTAGAATTAATGGTTTTGATACAAAAACCATACAAAATAAATTAAATTTTATACTAGTACTTACTTTCTTTCTGTAATAAAAGCATGGCAAGTTGGTCAAAAATTACTATGATAATGAAATGTCAAGTAGTTGCTATGAAAATAAGTAGGTAATCAGTAATCAAAAAATTAAGGCATCTTCCCTTGTACTTCAAATCATTGATGTAAAACTCTACCCTAAACAGGAGACATTTGACAATTTCATTTTTACTGCTCATGTAACAATAACTGTATGAATTATTATCTACCCTAATACTTATCTGAAATCAAATTAGTGTCAACAGCGAGAGTATAGTATTTCGGATACTCTCCTGAAAAATCGATACAAATCAATGATTTCCATCTTGATTGTAACATTAAGGAGGGACTCCTAGAAATAAAGCATTGATTTTATACACTGGGAATATATTCTTGGGATCCTGGAATAGGAATCAATATATAGATGCTGGTCTTTGTCTTATAGTGTCACAAGTACCCAGTATTTATTTTTTGTCACCTCATTATCTTCTGACAAAAATATATTTATCACCCACTGATCAAATATTCATGTCAAAATAGGCTTCTATGGTCTCTCTCAACTTGCCATGCATAAATTATATGTTCCTAATTACAATACCCATAAAGTGTTGATATATAGTTCAAAAAATTGTTTTTTGAGAAGTTAACTGCTTTTCTGTCAAGCAGCGAAGCCTGTCTCAGTGTTGGATAAATGCTTCAGAAACCTCTATGATAGCTGCAGGTGTAATAAAAAAAAATTCCATGCTTTGATAGTCTCAACTGTATTCTTTATCATATTCCCTGTTAATAATGGCCCTACATTTTTAATGAGAGTTCAAGGTTTTTCGGAAAACAAATGTGACCTCCCACTGGGAAAGGAAGGAGACTGTAATGCGAATATGATTACGGTACCAGCCATTTTTAACCTGGGCTATTAAAAAGTCATGTCTTAAACCAATGTTCATGATCACCTACGTAAATTTCATCCCAATTTTCATCATTACGCTGATCGATTGGAATATCGTAGGACAATAAAATGTGCACTTCAAAATATCATTCCCAATGTCTCACAAAGAAGCAAGAGATAAGTTATAAAATGTGCCTTGATTTTTTTTTATCCTTTTTTGTAAGGAAAAGTCTTTTTGTGTAAAAAAAAAAATTTAAATGTGTCTGAAGTAAATTTCTAGCTTCCAGTATTAAATGAAAGTTTATTTGTACATTTACACATTATTTAGAAGTAAAATAAAATGAAATCCTATATATATTAATGATCATCTCCCAACCTGTTTTAACTTTTATAGTAAAAAGGGTATCTACCTGAATTATTGATAATTACTGCCCATGCTGCAATGCATTATAAACTAGTAACTTGCTAATATGTAGGCTCATTGGTAGATATAAAATCTTTAGACATTAATGATGCAGAGATCAGATGATAAAATCATAGGTGTAGGTGTACAATGCTTTAAGAGAATTGATTCAGAAATCATAAAATACTCTTAAAATTCTTAAGGGCAATGACTATGTAGGGAATTTACTTGATCATAACTCCATTGGAAGTGTTAATTGCCTATCTCCATGGGTGGCATTATAACAAATCTAATAAAATGATCCATTTGATTATACAGATGAAAAATTTTAAAATTCTTTTATGGCATGCATGAAACCTTGTGATGCATATCTTGCCTTATCGTACATACAGGTACATTTTCCTTCCCTTGCAGAATATCACCAGGAACTTATTTGTTTGTTTTGTCTACTGTATCATACTAAAAGGTATACATTTTCCTTCCTTACAGAACTTCAAAGGTAACTGATTTGTTCATACATGTAGATGTATCATCTACATTAACATTCTCAAAGGTACATATTTCCTCCCTCAACACAAAATATTGTGGCTACCTGATTAATTTTGATTGTTCATACTAAAAAAATAAAAAAAAGAAACGGCACTGCATGGTCACCAAATATGATCACCAGATAACTTTTATAACAATTATGGCTATAGATTTCTTACACGACTTTGTGGGGTATTCAGTCTATTCACTTCGAACACTACAGTGTTTCATCTCAAAGATCTACAGATGGACACATGCTATAGCAAATATTCATAAATTAGTGTACCCAAATTTGGCATAATCCTCAATCTTCAACTGATTAATGCAATCATAAATTATCACACTAAAGTTTAAACAGCAAGTATATGTTGCATGTGCATTGAAACAATGTGAAAAATGAAACAAAAGTATTTTTTACAGTACAATGTACTTCATCATGTGTTCATCAGTTACCTTTTTCTGTACTTTGTATGCTATCTGTGTGGCTCCTTGGAGAATTTCATCTTCATTCAATGGCCTTATCCTGAGTGCCACCTGCAATTTAGATATTAATGATTAATTTTTTTATTTAGAATAGCCAAAAAAAAAAAAATCATTTTTACTGAAAATAGAGAGAAACCTTATATTATGAATATTCAATAATTCACTATTTGATTTTGATTCTACATATACATACAATGCATTTAGCAATTCTTGAATTTCGGTTGCACATGAATGTAAAACATTTCAGTTACAAACTTAAAAAAAATTCTACATTTGTCTTGCATTTTAACCAATGAAAGTATACTATTGAAATAAATTTACAAACAATACTAAGTATGACATTATCGTGTAGCAAGGCCTCTGTGTAAAATACAAGTTCATCAAAAATTATTCATTCAATTTTAGCATGTTTTAATAAAAATTAAACCTAAAATTTTCTGATGTAAATCATCTGAAAAGAATTGTAGACATGTATAATAAGTATAATAGTGGCTAATAAAGACAATAATTCTAAGACCATGAACAGCATTAAATTTATAAAATAAATCCCTTGAACATGTTGAAAACTTGAAATACAATGTGTGTAAATTCAATAAGACTCGTACATTTATTGTAAGTACCCTAACACTTAATTTTTCCTTAATGATCAGTTAATGTTGTGTAAAACTTACTGTTAGATTCTGTTCCCCTCCTCCTTTGACTTTGTTCTCTGACATTGTTTTAACTTTTGGCTATGATTCCAAATCAAAATAAATTCGCTGGCAAATATGTTTCCTGCTCATCCCATGGCGAAATACTTTTCAAGTCACTATGCATTAAATACAGGATTAATCCTCATAAACCAGCAAAAATGATCATCAAACCTGAAAAAGAAAGATCACAGCGATCCAAATTCAAAACGTCCGCATTTTTATCTGCTATTGGAAATCTACATGCCTATGACTGACAGCGCTACGAAACCGTTATGCATGATTGGTCGTGATCGTGAAAGAATCAATGCTGATTATAGTTCCTGCTGTATTACTCCGCCAGGTAAAAACCCGATCACAATGTCAGATAAGAGGTGCAAATGATATCTTTGGTACGCTGATGGATTTTTATTAGGCCATGCTTCTCAACATGTTCAATTCGTTTTGATGTTTAATTACCGATTCAAATTTTGTTTTCAACAAAAAACATCATAAGTTTTTAATCGGATTAAAAGAATTACATACGATTGTTACTTTTAATTAAATTAATCTCTTTCTACTAAACCTTTGAAATATGTTTGCAATATACATAATTTACCACCAAAAAATTTCTTCTATGGATACACCGGAAACATCACGATGGTGATAAAATAAACATAAAATTGTATCAGGATGACTTTCCGGATGACTCTTGAATAATCTGGGATAATTTTAAAACCCCGACAAAACACGAATAGTGCACCACAAATATTACACATCACATTAAATATATATTCATTACCATTTAATAATTGAAAGGATCTGGTCCTGTTTTTCAGAAAAAAGATTTCTTTCCCTTTTAAGTAGCTGGCTGATACTAAAAAAGTTCGTCTTCTGTATTGATCGTTGTGATTAATTTACGCTAATAATTAAATTTAGAGCAGACCTATCATTGATCTAATGTAACAACGTACTAGAGCATTCCAAACAAAATGTGTTATTTGTAATTGCCTACAAAAAACTTTGATAATGCACCTGCATCCACGGTAATCGAATATTCGGGGGTATAATGATAGTTTTTGGTCCGTCCGTCTGTCTGTTATCCACTAAAACTTGAACCTTGGACACAACTTTTGTTTGTCAGAGCTAGGGTTTTTATATTTCTCACGTGTATTCGTTGAACAAGAACTTTCTGTAGACCTGTACCATAATCGGATCACCTCGCCCTTTTCCGTCGCACGCTAAGATTTTCTAGCGTGCGACGGAAAAGGGCGAGGTGATCCGATTGCTGTACCAACATATATGTGACCTTGACGTTTGACCCACTTTAGCAAATTTTTATTCAACTTTAACCTTGGAGATAACTTAACGGTTGGAAACAAAGCTTTCATGCATCTAGTGTGTTCCCTGTAACAAGACATCCCCTTGTCCTTCAGGCTTGAGTACATTTTGACTTTTGTGTGAGATGACGTGCTTTTTAGAAAGCTTTGGCATGATTTCCTTGTGTCAGGCTTTTCTTTTGGTGCAAGTATTGTATTTTTAATCTCTTGACCTTGACCTTCCCTTAGGCACCGATATCTTTGAACTTTTGATCATGTGACCTTGAAGTTTGACTTACTTTTAAGAAAGTTTAACCTCAATTGACCAAATGGCATATAATTTTTTAACACATAGCGCTAGGACTATCCAATATCATAGATGTTTTCCTTCTGACAAGTACTAATATTTTTTTTTACCCCACGACGGTAACCTACTTTTGACATGATGAAATATACAGAGAAACTCAACATTCAGCGAATCTTCTGAAAAAAGTCCCATCATTTTCCTTTTGCCAGGAAACTCCTGACTCTTTCAGATAATTTGCAAACAAGGGTTGTACATACGCATGTAGACTACTTCAAAAGCTTGAATATATCAAAAATATTGCATGTAGTTGAGTGTAACATTGAAAATTTTCACCCCAAGAAAACCTTGTCAACCGAGGCGCAGCCGAGGTTGAAAATGGTTTTCGAGGGGTGAAAATTTTCAATGTTACACTCAACTACATGCAATATTTATTATATTATACTGAATGTTTTATACAAAAACATATAACACTGAATCGTGCGCGCATAAATTCTGCACAGTCGCTATTTTTTGGAATATCACCCGTCGTCAAGCAATGTTGACTGTTGCTACGCTCGAGGCCGTGGCTTCATTATTCAGCGGGTAATATAGTGTTGTTGTTTTTTTTTTTTTATCAAAGTTTCTCGACCAATCAGATTCAACTAATTTACATGAAAGTATAATATAAGTAAATAATGAAACTGTACATGAATTGTAAGTATCACAACATTTTATCAAAAACGAAATATACATGTTTACGTAATTACGAGACAGGATGTATATCTATCCTTCAGTGTGTCAATCCTCAAAATTAGAATGAAGAAAGTCTAGTTATTGTGATTATGCATGAAATATTACAACATCCGAGTAATATATTACCGGGTATATAAAAATACAAATGATAAAATCTGTGCAAACACGGACCTCTAAAACTCAGAGGTGGGATCAGGTACCGTAGAGGAGTACCAGTAAGTATCCTTTGTAGACCGGTAAGACGCACCTTGTACTTTTGTCATGGTCGTGCAAACGGGAAAATCCGTAGACATTACAGTGTGTAAATGATGGTCAAACAATTGGTAAAAGAAACGCCAGTCAGCGTTCGACTTAATGATATTTTGTACTTGCTGAAAGGTCATTGCATCGAACATAGGATCCTTTCAAGAACGATACTACGTCCCTTTTTAAGCGCTAAGCGCAGCGCAAAGCGCTTTCTGTCAGCGTAAATCTACTTCCGTTCGCGATCCAGCGCCACTCAGCAAGTAAGATAACTCCTTTTGTTTTTCTAGATATATGCAACTGGAAATCCCCGACTGTCTGCTATTTTAGTGTAATGCTGCGTTACGTGCAATTCTAATAATAGGAGGCAATTAGTAAGGTATTCCACAGCTAGTAGATAAGAGCAGTTTAACTTATCATGCTCTTCTCTTTAATTTACATTGTAGTTCATTTAAATCGTGTCAGCACACATTACTTTTGTACCATGTAGCTAACCTATAGCGCAAATACTTAAACACGGCATATTATTTATCATGTACATGTTATATAGTGATTGAATAAGTACTTAATTGAAAACTCAGATGGGATTTAATAAGTTTTTAAATCTCAAACTGGAAAGGATTTAGTCCGTAATAATAATTTTCAAAAATTGATTTATAATATACTAGTACTACTTACATAATCTGGTGCATGCTACATAACTTATATCCATATAGACTATTATTATTTCTTCTAGACCCTTATTTAAGGCAGTATAACTAAAACAAGCCTTCCTATTAACATCCTGAACCATGCTGAGAGCTATCAGTGAAGTTGATTTTCGCATCTCAGTATCAATTAGTAACAGACTGGAATACATTCATGGACTATCTTTCTTAATTCTATACTTGTGTTGTACGTACTCTTTATTTGTATCATATGGGTAAAAAAATATAATTATTATGTTAATAATTCGAAAGGAAAGGCAGTTTATGGCTGTACATACATGTAGGGCATGTGGTAGCTGTGTTTTCAAAGAATGCATTCAAATAGTAAAACTTATTTCTCGGAATTTTGTGCTTTAAAATTGTGTATGTAGTGGGCAGGATATTGCGAAAAATGCTAAAACCTTAATTATTGTTATTAACAATGGACAGTTATAGGGCTGATGAAATATTAAGCAAACAGTGTAATACTAAGAAGAAATAGTTCATGTAAAGATGTGCCTCCTCTGTTGCTGATTCTTAATGTAGACTAAATAAAAACAGAATAAAACAATGTTGTATACCTTCGTGAAGATTTATTAATACATGAGATTAATGTTGTATTTTTTTTTCTTAAACTCTTTAATTATTTATCATTATTTAGCAGAAAATTTATTAGCAATTATTTTCAGTATCCCTTTTCAACTAGCAGAGATAAGTTTTTTTCCTCTCAACATGTTTTGCATGGAGTTAAAATCATACACAAACAAGTAGAGAATGGTGTAAAGCATCAAGCGTCCGTACAAATAAATTATTTCAACAATAGTCAAAAAATACTTTTGGGGGGTTTAATGACATATTTTTAATCCAAAGAAGAACTATATATTGTAAAAAAAAAAAAAAAGAAGTAATATTTACAAATCAATCACACATACTGTGTTATCAACACAATGTTACTACAAATACTAGTACGCTATATATCATGTATTTGAAAATCAGAGATTAAATTTTAATGATAGCATCGAAAGATTAATATCTTTATACTCAACTGTATATTTACATATTACATCTGACAAAAAGGGCGTTAATTCTACGGATGCTCATTTCATTTACGTAGAATTTTTTACCATGACATTGTTACAAACATGATGCCAATCTTCAAATTGAAACACTCGTAAACGCCGAATGAATTTGTTATAAAAATAATCACCAGAAGATTTTAGCTGTCAGCGTTGCACCTACACTGTAAAATAGAGGAATTTTAGCGAAATTTTCAGGTTTTTAAAATTATTTCAAAATATACATTTTCCAGCAAACGTATAGCTACATTTAGAGTCTTAATTTGATAGGAAAAGTGGATTACATAATGTACATTTCCCCACCATAAATTGCAATTTATACGCAAATATTACCTCATAGATTCCTACTAGGCGATGGAGAAAGAAAAAAAATTACACAGAGAAATATTTTCTTGCAATTTCATGTATGTGATATAAATTGATATTTTGACAGAGAAAGAAAGTGTAAAATGCTTAAAATAAAAAGGCATTAGACGATGTTGAATTTCATAACCCAACAAGAAGTTTCCAGGACTCACATATTTGATTAGACCTGAAATAAAAAATTATTTGTTTGCAGTTGCCTACCGACCCACTGAAAATGCACAAAACCCAAACTTTTTTTTTTACCATTTTGTTATATTATTATTTTTTTAATTTTCAGGATATTAAAACTGTTTCATTTTAGTTTTTGTTTTTATCAATCTTTGATTTATACAAGAGTGAAGAGTATTCTTCTTTAGTAGGTCTATGAAATACTCTGTTTACTTATTGTCTAACAAATATCCCAAAACTTATTTTTTTTAAAACAAGAATGCCTACCTACCCCTCAGAAAATTATAGGTCGGCAACTACAAACACAGCTTGGCCTTATGTACGTATCAAACAACTGTGCTCGCCTAGCGCTCTTGCACAGTCAACATATTGCTTAAAATTCAATACAACAGGAAATTTAAATTCAAAATAATTATGATGAATTTCAAATCAATATGCTTAGCGCTTCCCAGTACTTTCAGTACTTTGATTATACATGTACTTCGGTGTCAAGTCGAAGGGTTCTCGATCGTCATGAACCATGCAACAGCATATTGAAGTTGTTTTACTTTGTATAATGTGTTACATACCACTGTCACAAGACAGTTAAATGAGAATTGCCAAACGTCAACTGCAAGGTACAAATAATCATCTTTATCTTTTTCAACAAATGCGGTTCAAATATAAGTCAAGGATAGCTCATCCCCAATAGAAATCAATCAGATTTTAAGACATTCTTAACCTTTATCTAAAGTCAGTTCGACCGGAC